ATACTTGCAATGAAGTGCTATGTCTCTGCAGAAGTTTGCATGTTTGTGGACATTTCATAGTAGATAGGAAATTTATAATTTCAAAAAACGGAAGGAAACCTAAAACATATGCTTTATAAAAACAAACCATTGCTCTTTAACGTCTTTTTTCCTTGGGACATAGCTGCTTTAAGAAAGGTGGCAAAAGCTTTAACGGACATTTTGTTATTCACCTGAAATACTTGGACAGAAAATTGGCAAATTTGATACAAGGTTTAAGGAGTGAAATTTTACAGATTTTATGAAACTAAATTGAAACATGCACAGATATTTTCTACTGCCAAATGGTCAAAACCTTAAATTGTCTTTAAATCTGAAAGACTAGGGATTTTAGGGAAAAAGCCACCTCTAATACATAACAGTATTACTGTAACAGGAGTAATTAGCAAGTTAACAGAAAGCATTAAAGAAAAAAGTAATTAAGTAATATTTAAAACAATAAGCATTGTTTAAAACTAGAGTTGTATTCCAATTTTAAAAGATAGTATAATACTTAAGTGGATGGTGAGGTTCACAACTATTTAATATTCTTATGAAAGTGATGTTATTCATGTAATACCATGTATAAACCACCATGAATAAACATGCTCAGCAGTGTGTACTTCCAATGAATTCAAAATTACACATGATCATATTAAGATTATCATTCACCACGGACAGTTCCAAGGCATCTAAAAAAATCTATACTAAAGACCTGGATGGAGAAAGCAGGGATACACTTTGTTTCTTTTAAAGAGTCACAATGTAACAAATACATTCACATTATAGCTACAATTATACTAGTCACAATTTTTAATCTTACAGAATAAAGCTATAGTATGCGAAATTACAATATATTTATCTTCTTTAAAACCATTTTTTAAGAGGGCAGATCTGTCATTTATTAGAAGCCAAACCAACAGAAAAATGTAACTGATAAATGCAGTCTTTAAAATTTTTGTGGTTAATTATATGCCAATTTTCAAAATACAACAGATTTTTTGGTTCACGAGGCCATGAAAAAATAAAAGGTCAGTAAGGGATTTCCATTTATCAATAGAAATGAAAAGTTCATGAAAAAATTTCAGTATTTATTAAAACGTCTTTTTACATAATTTTTTTTTTTTGGGTGGTTAAACACAAGAAATATCTCTAATGAGTGTCACCAGGTAAACAGACATAAATGAAGATGCTTTACTATGACTGTCTCACAATCCTCTTTTGAAGGATATCAATAACTATCAGATTTTCTTTGAAAGTCAACTGAAATACAGTTATTATTTTTTTCTATTAACATACAGCAAGATTTACTACTTAAAATGCCCATTTTTTTCCCTCTAGGGCAAGGATCAGAAAACTATGGCCCACAGGCCAAATCCGGCCTGCTGTCTGTTTCTGTAAATAAAGTTTTATTGGATCACAGACATACTGGTTCATTTACATATTATCTGTGGCTGCTTTTATGCTACAGAGGCAGAGGTAAGTGGTTTTTAAGACCATATGATTCTCAAAGCCTGAATTATTTACTCTCTGATCCTCTACAGAAAAAGTCTGCCAATCCCCCCCCCAGGGGACTGTCTTAAATAGATCTATAATAATGCGTGTTTTGTTTCTTTTATTAATACTCTGCTTTCTGTTATTCTCATGCGTGTGTGAAATCCATTTTTTTAATACATCATTTTATCTGTTGGTGTATACCTTGGAAACATAACATTTTGGCTGAGTTTCCATCTTTAATATACTTGGAACAGAAGCGTTATCTGTAGCCATAACCTGTTTGATTTGGGGTCACTCAGGAATTCTCCAGGAGTTAGAGGATAATAAAATGGATCAGCCATACATCAAAAGAATGGCTATAAAACTGCACGTCTTATTCTATTTTGAATAAGGGAGTTCGATAGAAAAAAGAATAATGAGAACCAAATATACTTTAGAGTAAATATCATTAAATCAGAGGGAAAACAGCTTGTTTTCAAAACACACACACACACACACACCCCACCCCATCCTCCCACCTGTCATGAACAGCTATAACATAAAGTATATTTGTTTTATAAATATATTACTGTCTATATACATATAGATACATCCATAAAAGACATGTTAAATAATTATTTGTATAATCAATACTACCTTAAGTTTTTTGTGTATTTTAAAATTACACATTCTATTAAAATTATCAAAATAATTCTTTAAAAATACCGAGAATAAAACCAGTGAAGAATTGCTTTCCATTCAAGTAGTTCTAAATATTATTGGCCACCCAGACCCCGGACTTGGTCATCTACAACTCAAAGAAACATAGTTCAATCAGGGAAAAGTCAGCCATCAAAAGCACCCCCTCCCCCATTTTTAATACCTCATAACAAATATGCACATGTATATGTATATATATATATATAAAATACTCTTTTTAGTTATATTACATATTCTCATAAATGAATTTTCATAAAAACACAAAGTTCAAGTTTCCACCAGTATCAAATATTTTATACTGGTGTGTGTTTCTTCCAAATGTTTAGGTCAATGACAAACTCTATCAGGATAAAGAGATCATAAAAACAAGACTGAAAACATCCGGATCACATGCGACACAGAAAGAAATACTAAGGGCCAGGATTTGGCCAGTTGGGTACTATTCCCTCTGGACTAAGACACAGAGACAACAGACTGGCTAATTACTGCGTGAAAGTACAGTCAACTGTCAATTATTCAGGGGCAAAATATTGCAGTCTGAATCCTTTTTTGTCTATCAGTTGACCACATCTGGCAATTTCCCTTAATAACACACCTCTTTTTGGCTACTTATTAGCAAGTCTGGTAAAAGATTTGATTAGGGAGAAATTTTTGGCTAAAACGAAGGTTTGTTATCAGTTATGGATTTAATTTAATGACGGACTCCATTTATTGCTTCAGATAAATATGAATTTGCCATACAAATGCTGAATTTGTCTGCCAATTATCTCATTCTTAAGCTCTGGAAGCAACATTGGTGCTTCAAAACAAAGGGGGCAAATTGTCCTCTTGACATAAGAAAACTGCTCTTTTTAAAAAACTCATAATTAATCACACTGAAGGATTTCAGTGTGGGTAGTTCAGAGCTATTCACTTCAGGATAGGTGGCACTGGCTACACTATTTTTCCATAGTTTAAAATCCATGAAACAATGACAAATAGTCAGCTAAAAACACTAGAAGGTCAAATTAAAAGTGTCATATACATTTCACCTAAGATTTCATTTAAATAAATTTATTAAAGTTTGGCAGACCTTCAAATATTTAAAATGCTAAAGTGAAGAAAATGGAAGCAAAACCTACATGTATAATTTAAAAGTGATTTCATACTAAAAAAGTCTTAGAACATAACTAAAGTAAGAGGTATTACACATTTGTAATTTTATTTTTGGCACTGGGTTAGCCTCTACATTTAAACTTGTTCTATAAATAGTGACCAACAAAATCAAGGAGAACAATGTCACAAGTGAGTAGGGTTGCTCTCAGGCACCACTCAGAATGGTTTGTGTGGCATCATCTGTATTATTTCTGGGTACAGATGAGTACCACACTCATTTCAAACACAACAGCAATAACTGTGTAGAACACCACTCTCCTGAATTAAGTTTGCTGAACACGGTTCAGATTATTGGATATGTCAATATGCACAATGCCTTTTAGAAGCATTTACTGTATACCCAAATCCTACTTCATGCAACACACAGTGTCACACAAGTAGTGAAAATGTTATCCTAGTCAAAGGTGCTTGGACATTATTTTCAGGCAGCATTTTACCTTTATTTTAAGTTAAGTTCACACTAGATAAGTTTTAGGAGAAAGAAAATGCCAATAAACTTATTTAATATGTTTTAATATAGTATATAAAACTAAGACAGACACTTTTATTTACCTAAATTGTTACTTTTATTTTCTAACCTATTCTAGACCTCAATTTTACTTTAAAAATCTGTATTTAAATAAGGGATAAAATGTTGCCCAAAAGTCTAATCATAGTTACACACTTGTGTTTTAACTAGATCTACAAATCAAAATAGTTCTTATAGTTAAAAAGATACAATTTGTATCAACAGTAAAAGGTACTTTCTGGTTTTTCAGGGCTTTACTTCAAACTGTAGCATGTAAGAATAATCAGAATAACCAGGGTGTCTAGGCAGACTACAGAAACAGATCTGAATGTGTCTATTACACTGAGTGAAACCCCAAATCTGGAGGCAACAGTCAAGTTCTGTCAATCACACAACTGTCTGCCACTGACTGCAAAATCTGTCTTCTAATCCACATAAATATATTTGTAGCTAGCAAAACCCATGACTTTGAAACCAGAAATATCCCTTACTAATACTAGAACAGACTTTAGTCTGTATCTAAAACTACACTATTTGTGGCAAGAATCTGGCCTTAATAATATAACAGGCCCCCCCCCCAAAAAAAAACTACCTTCAGGAAAATGGAAAATATACAATATCTTACAAAAATTTTAAGTTACCATTCACAACTCCTCCATCACCATTTTTATAGTGCAGTATCAATAAATGTTGCATATGCTCAACACATAAAACCATCTCAGGCCAGCCTTCATAAACAGCAGGAAAGCTAAAGAGTGTATTAAATATAAAAGTTGCATTGAGAATAATTAGATTCATTAAAATCAGGCAAGTACTGTGAAAGGGTTATTTTATCCAGTATTGTGCCCCAAAACAAAAAGACAGATATATTAAAAATACAGGTTAATGGAAATCTAGGAATTCAATTCCATTTCTGCTGTCTAGAAGCACATCATAGCTGGATAACAAAACTCTAACCTGTAGTAGTTACGGCTTTTGCCTTATACATAAAAAAAAAAAAAAAAATGGAAACAATTTTTCCATTGATTGCATCTGCTTTCTTTTAAATCGACCATATTAAATTAACTAATTTCTTAACAGAAAAAAAATCCAAACAAAAATAACACAATGAAAAGTGCCATACTGTAAATCATTCTAATATATACTGTTACCCATTTCAACATAAATTGGTAACTTACATTTTGTTTAAAATATAAAGTCAGTGCTGTAGTATATCTTTGTTTCTATAAATAATGATTATAGCACAAAGAAGCCCACCTTCCCCAAATAAAAATAACTTAAAAAGCTGTAAAAGAGTCTAATTAAGCTTGGCTTGAAAAAATAGTTTGCTAGGTCTAGTCAAATGCTCCACATTCTGAAGGTACTGTAATTGCTTGCAATTGATAGACAAACACCAAGTTAATAAAACATGAAACAAGGATAAAAAGTGCTGCATATAAACCCCTGATGCACCAAAGATTATTATCAAAGATCACAGATACATCTATTAAATCAAACTGGAAAAATTTCCAGCCAAGGATATAGCTTTAAAAAGGAAATGTTAAAAAAAAGTTTAAATGTAAAGCAATCCCGTGATACTTCCACCGTGTGGGGCTATACATACAGATTCCATGATACAGTATTTCACATAAATGGATACTATATAACCTCCTTGCTGAGAAGGAGATCACATGTGCTATTGTAGCAAACCTCCCTCAGCATTTGAGCTGAACAAAAAACTACTAAACACCACAAAGATGCATCATCTTTCAATAACCCAGCTGTGATTTCTCCACTAAAATGGCTGCAGCGAGCTGCTGGGCGTCTGTCATGTGAGGATTCCTTTTCATGACAATTCTCACAAGGTCAGGTGGGAAGATGTTGCACAAGTTGATGTAAATCTTTTCTCGGTTATCTTGGTACCTTGGAGGATCTTGCGGCATCCCACAGTACGGTATCCGCCAAGTCGGCTCTTGCTGTTCAGGTAGGCTCTGGAAGGTGAACTGCTCGTAACACGGCTGCGTGGAGTTATCAGGCAAGGAGTAAGTCTGCCGATATCCATAGGCATCCATCCCGTAACTTGGCCTATCCCAGCTTCCCATCCCTTCCTGGCGGGAATAAGGCTTCCTTTGTCTTGAAGGAGAACTGTCATAGAGGCGAGAATCAGAAATGCTGTCTATTCTGGTGGCCACTAGGGACCTGCCTAGGTGTGGTGCCTTAGAGTGTGCTGAACTTGGCGGAGAGGGGTAATCCCCGGGACAGCTGGACCGGGCGCCCACAGTGGGGTGCTGTAGATGCATAGCCAAGTGTGGAAGAGGAGGCTTGTGATGGAACTTTGGTTCTTCGTGACTGTAACTTTGCACTCTGGTTAAGGGGTCGTGGAAATTCTGCAGGAAGGGTTGGGAATTAAGGCGGCTGTGAGGGTGCATGTGTTGACACTTCAAATTCTCTTCTAGCTGCGGGTCGGGAGAGCTGACGTAGGACCGGTCATTGTACCCCACATAGGAGTCACTGCTCCCGCAGCTCATGCTCCCTTCACTGCTGCAGTCAGAAGCTACAGAACTTATTCTATAATCTGTGTCTAATGAGAAACGCCTTTCAGGACTTCGTGGGCCTGAGATACTCAGATTTGAATATGCGTTCAACATGGAGTAATATCCAATGTCAACAGGCGAGTCGCATTTTGGATACTGTTCATAAGGCATTGGCGTTCCATGATTTTTGGTTGCCATCATCATTGGAGGATATTGTCCCTGTGGTCTTTGATCCTGAGGTGGGAAATGAACTCCAGATGGAAGGCCATTGCTTAAAGATGCAGTGCTTTGGGGTTTTGCAGTAGAAGTAGCCGGTATGCTAACTAAGGAAGGTACAGACCTGGTTTCCAATTTGTTTTTGGTGGGAAGCTTTTCTTCTAGGTCTTGGTAGACTTGAGTCCTTATGCTTGGATCTGATTGCCTCTTTGGAGCACCTCGTTTCACATCAGAAGTGCTATCAGCCTTAGTGCTACAAGGAACACTGTTGCTTTTCACCAGTCCTCCTTCATTTGCAGTTTTGGCTGCTGTATTTCTAGACATGGCACGAAGTTCATCAGCCACTGACCGCTGAGGCTGACTGCCCCTTTCGGGATGGTAATATTTGCACTTGTGTCCATAGGTACACTTCTTTCCTATGAAAAGTAAAGTTAATTAGGTAAAGGAATATACCATCAGATCTTGAGAAAAACATTCAGTTTGGCACTATTATTTTAACTTGTAAAAGAAACAAAGGTAGAAATGGGAGCTATGCTAAGCATTACTCTGTTCTTTACCCTTGAGAAGTGTTACTTTTCAGTCTACTTACTTCCTTACTATCAAGTGCAGCAAGCAAGTCGGCCCAATGACTAATAATCACTTCCAGAGTTTTTGGCTAATACCCCATATTCTCAACTCATACTTGCCTCTTCTCTTCCAGTAGGACTTAATAATCAGGTAGGAAATTTTGTTTTGAAGAGCAACATGTACTGTTGTAATGTGATAAAACCATTCTCATCTGATTTGTATCTAGATGGAAGAATTTCAAATTTTTATTCACCTGAAAACTAACTTCATGTAGAATTAACTGTGTATTTTGAACTATGTTTTAATTCAGGGAAATGCATTTGTTTTGAACTCAAATAGATAAAAATAATTCTTTTTCATGGCTAAGACATTTTTTTAAATTTAATTACAAGCAAAGAACCACATACCATGCTACTCAAAATTATGAATGTTTATTTTTGTCAACAAAAGTTTAACAATATATTGTGTTCTAAAGGCATATACTAAATATTCACAAAGAAAGTTACCATATGGACAAGGCTGCTTTTTGTGTTCAGGAACAATAGGTTTCTTCCTCAGAAAATTATCCAGACTGGGGCCGTGTCTGCCAAGAGGGTCGTCAGGAGGCATGAACCTGTCAGAGAGATAATAAAAAATGACACCTAAGCAGGAGGTCAGTCATTTAATTCTAAAAACACAGTACAAAGATTTATTTACTTTAAGGTAGTTTTTTGAAATTTTATTCCAAGTGTTTTGATTCAACATCTATAGGGTAAAAATATCAGTACATGAAGTTCACTTTCCTTAATAAAAACAAAATTCAACTGTTTGAAGCCGAAGTTGTATTTGTTTTAATTCAAGTTAAGTTTGAGTCTACCATGTTCTAATTAATTCTTCTTTCCTCTCAGTCTTGGGATTTTGCAAGGATTTTAGAAAGCTATTGCAGTGACATTTTAGGAGAGCTTTATAAACACGGGTCTTGTGAGTAGTGGGAGCACTGGAGGTGAGAGGGCAGCTGAGGAAGAAAGAAGGGAGAAGTGGCAGAATGCTATGGGAAGACAAAGACTTCCCGAACACTTATGTGCCAGACACTTTACACACACTATTGCCTTCTGTCCTAACAATAATCCCATAAAGCATTAGCTCCATTTTACAGATCAATAAAGTTTTCTAATTTAGCTTCAGATGCATTCAGCAATTTTTATCTAACATCACATGTCACAGTCAAGATTCAATTATGTCTGACTCCAAAGTGTATTCTCTTCCCACTGTACTTAGATGCTTCTCAGCTGAGATAGAAAAAGTCTTAAGAAAGTAAACTTATTATTTAAGATTGACTGTTCAGTGGAGGAAAAAAGAATTTATGGCATGCATAATGAAAAGAAGTTATGACTGAAGAATTCTACTCCTTGTTATATTACTGTTTGAACTTGAAATAAACCCAAGTATTTACCTATAAAACATGGATAATAGAAATAATGTATGAACTCTAACAGGAGTGTCAAGATGGCTGAGTAGTAACACTTTGCAAATACAGTGTTTATTATTATAAAAATACGGCAACATTAATAAATAGAAGACAAAGTCACTTAATCTCACAATCTTAAAACAATTATTTTTCGTGTCTGTGTTGGCTTTAAGTCATTTTCCATAAGCACACAACATTTTACATGGCTTTAATCAAACATAAATATAATTTTATGCTTTGTCTTTTTAACATAAAAATATTTTTCCGTATTTCTTAATAGCTTTCATAATACTAATTCTGAACAGCTGAATAATATTACCATAGGAGATGTAGCACAATTAGATTGAGTTCTCTATTGTACATTTGTAGTTGCCTTTGAATTCTTGCAATTATAAATAATATAGAAATGAACATATCTAGTGTTTCTTTATTCCTCATTATATATTCCAAGAAATAAGATTATTGGGTTGACAGAGTACACATGTTTTTGAGGCTTCTGCTAACCTGTGCCAAATTGTTTATCAGTTTGCATGCATCTTTAATAGCATAACACGAAAATATTTTTGTGAATTAAATGGGTAAGAAAACACATTCTTTTTAGATTTAGTTTGCATTTTTGATTAGCAACAGGTGAACTTTTCCTACATATTTATAAATGACTTTACTTCTCATGAGACATACTTGTTCATGTCATTTGTTCATTCATGAACTTGCAGACTCTGATCATGACTAGAGTCTTACACTGGTAATAACAACTTTAAAAAATCATGTACGGTCATCTGCTGCATAACGTCATTTTGGTCATTAAGATTATAACAGAGCTGAAAAATTGCTAGTAATGTCATAGTACGACACATTACTCGTGTTTATGGTGATACTGGTAAAAACAAACCTACTGCACTGCCAATCTTATAAAAGTCTAGCATATACAATTACACACTGTTTCTATAGTAGCATACAATAATGTCCTAGACCTTCACATTTACTCACCACCCACTTGCTGATACCCAGAGCAACTTCCAGTCCTACAAGCTCCATTCATGGTAAGTAACCTGGACAGGAGTACCATTTTTTACCTTTTATGTGTATTTTTACTGTACCATGTCAATGTTTAGATATGTTTAGATACACAGATACTCACCAGTGTATTACAATCGCCTACATCAGTCATTATGGTCACATGCTGTACAGGTTTGCAGACTGGGAGCAATAGGCCATACCATATGGACTAGGCGTGCAGTAGGCTAGACCACGTAGGTTTGTGTTAAGTACACTCCACGATGTTCACACAACAACAAAACTGCCTAAGGATGCATTTCTCAGAACTTATCCCTGTCGTTAAGTGACACATGACTATAAATACAGGGTGAAGATGGGAATTCTCCCTCTTTCAGTCATCATAAGTTCCTCGGAGAGTCTTGAAGACGTCCTCTGCCTGAGGTGCTCTGCTAGTGACTTACAAGGAAGGGCAAGGGTCTGCCACTCACATAGGGCCTCCTGTAGCACCATTCTACAGTTTTTCTGACTCCCATTGAAAATGAGCAGGGAAATCAGTTGTTGGAAAAAACTTGTCTTAGGTCTGGTCAGCGGCAAAAAGAGAAGGATTCTGTAGCAGCCGCCAGGGATAGTTAACATTTTCAGGGAAGCAATATCACTGGCAAGTAAATGGCTTTACTTACTTGTCATTAACAAATGAATACATTAATAATCGCTCATCTATGAACTTCTTCCATTCTGGTTTTTCATTAGCCAAATCCCTGTAGTTATCATTGGACACAATTATACCATCTGACTCAAAGGCCAGCTTCACGATGAACCTGTCGTCATAGCACACCACTCGCCTCCCCTGGACTCGCCGAGATGGCGTGAACACCAGGATTTTCTCCTTCTCTAATTTACGTAAAATTTCTTGATCTGAAAGAATAACAAGGGTAGAATTTCAGAAATAAACACATACCTAACACACATGACAACTTTCACACAATGTGACCTTTTATAATGTGAACTGGATATATGTAATCATTTAATTAGGGATTATGATTTACAGTTTATAAATGTGCATAATTTTTAACTCCTAATAACATTCTTTCTTCAGGAATTTCAATAATAAGGGATTTAAAAATAGTTAAAAAAATAAACAGCATATTATAAACATGACTGAGCAAATTCTGATTTTCATTAAATGAAGATTTTGCTTAAGAGCTGGGGCCACCAGAATGACCACGATGAACACGGTGTCTGCCACGCTCCTACAACAATGCCATTCTAGCAAAGCAGCTGTGTGGGGCTCAGGAGTGAGCAACAGAATTTTTCCTCCCAAGTTTGTTTGTGTGTTTTGTAGTTATTTTCTTCTAACCAGTGGATGTGATGGTGAGGGAGTTTGAAAAGAAGTAGTCGAGGTAGCAAAGGGAAAAATCTTCGAATGCAGAAAGTTCAGAGAAAATGGAGGCGGTGAGGTCTGAGTGGTGTTATGGATGTGGCTGCTACACCTACGAAGCATGTGGTAACAAACACCAGCACCTTGTGGGGTCGGGCTGAGCAGGAGATCAGGTCATTATGTGGAGAAAACAGCCACAGATAGACAAAGGATAGGTAGAGTGTTCTTCTTTGTCTTTGGTGGGCACACTCTTACAGCACTTTTTAACTCTACTGACTTGTTTTGTGGTTTAAAAAAAAAAGGTGCTAGAGTTCATATTTTGATTAATGATAAAAATTCTCTTTTAACCATTCTTTCTTCCTACTTTTGCTTCTCCATCCCCTATTTTTCCACCATTGTAAATTCTGGCATAGAGTGCCAGTTACCTAAAGATGTCATGATTTTTTTAAAAAAGCTCACTACTTCTCAGTGCTTATTAACTAGAGTTACTAATTTTTTTTTTCAATCCATTTCTTCAACAGCTAATTACTACATGCCTCCTCTGTGGCCTGTATCGTGCTAGGTGTCAGCGCCCACCAAGATTAAGAACGACCCTTCCTCAAAGAGACCTCAGCCTTACCGCACTGGACAAACACGTAAGCTAGGTGAGCGAGGGTTGTAATTGGCAGAGCAGAAGTACTTCAGAAGGGTGTGCAGGAAGAGGGGATGGAAGAGTGACTGTGGCTCAGCTCAACTACTAGCATACGGACTGATGACGCTCCTGACAAAGGAGGTCATTAGGATCAGAACACTGGTTCAGAAAAGCAACAGAGCATGAGTGGAAGAAATGTGGGTGTTAGAATCAGCAAATCATGGATAAATATCAGGTCCTGCCACTTTCCACATCTGGTAATCATAATCTTGTTGAGCCTGTTTCTTCCAGTCCTCAAATGTAGTTGATAGACTATGAGAAGTAACTGGGTAGCTGGTTAAAAAAGGACCTAGCACAGTGCCTGCAAGCTCTCAATAAACAGCTCTGATTAGCTCTCTATGCCTACCATTTTACCACTTATTGTGCTCTTTAATTTTGTTTAATCGATGTAATTACCGATCTCTTCTAAAAATCAGAGAAAACCAATACAAAATCAAAACCCTAGTCTTTGTTATAGGATTTGTCATATTATAATTTTGTGTGCATCCCTGATAAACATTTTGGGGTCGGGCATCATGTGTTATTTATCTTCATATCCATCAGCACCCAGGCCCTGAGGCACGTCGGTAGATGATGAATGAATGTCTATGGAACGAATAAATCAACTGCTTAAACACTCTGGAGTCTTCCAGTTTATTCATGAATAATCTATGGTACTTTACTATTTGTGAGGGTGTTGACTCATATATGATATGCCTTGATCCTCTCCAAAGTGACTGGTGGATTCAGTGTGGTGGCCTAACAGTCATCATCATCTTGCTTAATTTGCATTTCTTTAACTGCTAATGAGGGTGAGAAGACACTAGTTAGGATAACATACAAATAATCCTAACTTAAATAAATAATGGGTACAGAAAAACAAGTAAATTAACTGAATCCCTAGTTCCTAGCACAGCACTTGATACATACCTAGTGCTTATTAATATTTGTTAAATAAATGAAAGATGGGCAAAAGCACTAGCCTGAATCTATGGCACTGACAACTTTAAAATATTTCTTACCAAGTTTCTTTTTTGGTGCAGTGAAAGAGTTCTGGACTATTCAATTTACCAGGTATCATCTGGTTGAGGGTTTTAGTCAAGAGAATTATTACCCTGGGGCAATAACACCTAAAGGCCTCTGACGTTAGTTCTCGCATTTTACAAGATAAACTGCATACGGGGACAAAATAAACTGCATACGGAGACAAAATAAACTCAGCCACAGTTCACATTATGTATTATCATTTTCCCTTATTCTTGCTCTCATATTCCTTCCATGCACAAGAAGTTTTCAAGACCTTTATATGCTTAAATGCTGTTTTTTTCTTTTTTCGTTTACTTTATCTCCCCCACAATTATCAAAATACTATAAGTTTCTTGCAGAAAATTAGAACAGAAAAAGTACCAAGAAGAAGGGAGAAATAAAGACCTCATAAAGCCACAACTCAGAGGCAATTACTATTAACATTTTGGCATATTCCCTTCTAGTCAATTTCTGTGTATTTTGTTCTTTCCATTGTTGAGATATATATATATACACACCTCCTTTTATGTAAAAGAGTATTCCTCAAATCATTAAAAATTCTGCCTAAATAGTTTAATGCATATTTATCATATCAATACATCCTGATTTACTGAACCATTCTTCTAATGAATGTATACTTTGTTTCCATTTTTTTCTATTCTAAATAATAATATTGTGCTACATGTCTCTGGTCAAAAATATTCACCTGTATCTCTGTTCATTTTCTTGGGACTATTCCTAGAAGAGGAACCAGTAGATCCAAGAGTATTAACATTTTAAGATCAACTGTTTTCTTGACAGGTTGCAACAATTTTGACAGCAGTGTATGAGTAACCTCCCTCAGGGCATTGAGTATCGTCAATTTTGTAATCTACTAACTTGATGGGTGAAAAATAACAGTTGTTTAGATTTCCATTTCTTTAATTACGAATGAGGCTGCACTTTTTTCCTACTTACTTGACACTGGTTATTTTGGAAGTTGTCTATTCCCATCATTTTACCATTTATATACTGGAGAAAGCTTTGTGTTTGTTTTATCATCTGAGATCTTTATGTTAAGGACATGGATTCTTTATTTGTTGCATATTTTTCTTAGGCAACTGGTAGATTTTCATTTTTAACAAAGTTTCCCAAAATGTAGAAGCTTAAATTTTGATGTAATCGTATCTTTTTCCTTTGTAAATTTTTCTAAAATTTTTAAATTTAGAAAGGTCTCTCCCCATTCAAAGACTATTTGTAGTATTTAATGGTTTGACTTTTGACAATAATTATTCAACTATCTGGAATTTATTGTTACATGGTATATAAGATAAGGAACTAAACAAGTATACTTTTTCAAGAGTTACCCAATATTTTGGTACTACTGGTTGAATTATATATACCTCTCTGCTTTATAGTTTATACAGGCTAGGTTCTGAGTCCATGGCTTAGGACTCACCGTTACTTGCCTATTCATTCTTGTGCTAAATTAACAATGATTTAATAATTTATATATAATTATATTTATAAATTATTACATATAATTATATAATATATGTATATTTACATATATAATATTATAATATTAATAACTTATAATATTTATTATATTATTTATAATATAATATAATTATAATATTAATAATATTATAATTATAATATTAATAACTTATAAATATAAGTTTATATTTATAATATTAATATTAATTTTATAATATTAATAACTTATAAATATTTTATTGGGATCAGGCCATTTCCTTCTACTTGACTAATAGCATATCCCAGGTCTTACAAATCTTTTTCAAACTGTCATTAGAGTCTGACTGCCACCTAATCTTTTTTTTTTTTTTTTTTAGAATATTACAGGGGTACAAATGTTTTGATTACATAAATTGCTTTTGTACCATCTGAGTCAAAGCTATAAGTGTGCCCATTCCCCAGATAGTATGCATTGTACCCGTCAGGTGTGAATTCACCCATCCCTTCCCCCCCACATGCTTAATTTCTTGTGTTATTTCCATATGCGCATGTAAGTGTTGATTGATTAGTTCCAATTTAATGGTGAGTACATGTGGTGTTTGTTTTTCCATTCTTGTGGCATTTCACTTAGAAGAATGTTCTCTAGTTCCATCCAGGTTAATAAAGAGGTATTAGTTCCACCTAGTCTAATGTCATATGGCATATGAGAAAATTGGAGTTCAAAGAGGTTCATTGTGTTGCTCAGTCTTCATGGCTAGTGAACAGCAAAGGGCTCCTAGCATGTCTCTGAAGTCAGAATTTTACAAAATTTAAAGTCAAAGTTTCCATAAAAATGACAAAAAACCAAACCTGGTGTATACAGCAAGGATTACTATTTAGTTAACATAATAATATAGTTTTCAAAGTCGAAAACAACTTTCACACTCCACCCAAAAGAATGTGGTAGGCATACAGATTGAGTAAACAGAAACAGACTCCGAATTTGATAGTGCAGATATCTGCATAGGCGTTATGAGAAAGCTAAGAACAAACAGCTACCTGCAATCAGCTTACCTGTGATGAGAGCATCAGGCCGGGATTGTTCTTTCCTCCAAGCAGGAACAAAGACTGTAACATCTTTGTGGCCTCTTTCCAAAAACCAATCCACTGCTAATTTTATTCCTCGGCAGGAAAATACTTCTTTGTTTCCATGGCTGAAAGATTATTTTAGGATACTTAAAACACACAAAAAAACTAAATTCAATTTAATTTAATTCAAGTTTATAAACAGAAACGATCACATAATTACTAGAGTAATAAGCGATGTCAAATTTAAGACGGAGCTGTAGAGCTCAGAGAAACATTGTAATAACTTAGTTGAAAATCAAGATCTGTGTGGAAAAAAATAAGAAAATTGAGATGATTATTTTGTAGAGAAAAAGAAAAGTGAGTTTTCAAATGTAAAGTTGTAAAAGTTAACTAATCAGAAAGATACAAGCTCTTTTTGATCAGGATGCAGGGGGGAAAAAGAAAGGGCTTCAATCATAGCAAAAGTAATTTTAGTCAAATGTAAAGAAGTCACAGAGAAAAAAATCTGTAAAAATAGTGGGATGGAATACTTCTGAGTTTCTAAAAACTTCCTTCCCAAGAATTCTTATCCATGTATTTCAATCTAATGACTAAGTAATGCACTAAATTTATTAGGTGGCCAATGTAAAGCAACACACTACACTCTCACTGAAAGGAAAAACATGTTCACAATGCTTAATCTCATACAAGAAACACTTTCCATATCCTGCAGTGAAAAGACACCTAGTTTCTGTTCTACAATATTGTGTTGGACAAGGATTAATGATGACAAAAGGGCATTCAAAATTGGATTAGCAGTCTTAGTGCTTAAAAGAAAATGCCCAACTAAGAGTGTAGTCATTCAGTAAGTATTTATCTAGCCCTAGGCTCTGCTTGTACACTTTAACCTAATAATTCAAATACCCCCAGTTAGAATAGTTTTTATTAAAAAGTCCAAAAACAATAGATGCTGGCATGGATGCAGAGAGAAAGTAATGCTTATACACTGTTGGTGGGATTGCAAATTAGTACAACCTCTATGAAAAAACAGTATGGAGATTCCTCAAAGGAATAAAAGTAGACCTACCATTTGATCCAGCAATCCCTCTACTGGGTATTTTCCCAAAGGAAACAATGTCATTTTATCAAAAAGACACTTGCACATGAATGTTTATTGCAGCACAATTCACAATTGCAAAGATGTGGAATCAACCCAAATGCCCATCAACTCATGAGTGGATTAACAAAATATAGTATGTGTATACCATGGAATACTACTCAGCCATGGAGGATGACTTAATGCCTTTTGCAACAATATGGATGGAACTTTAGACTATTATCCTAAGTGAAGTATCTACAGAATAGAAAAACAAACATCACATCTACTATTAAATTGGAACTAACTGACGAGCACACGTGCACAGAGGGAAGTATAACTCAATGGAAATCAATCGGGGGGGGGGTGGGTAGGGAGAAGGAGAAGATGGGCAAAAACCTACCTAATGGGTACAATGAACACTATCTGGGTGATGGACACACTTAGAACCCTGACTCAAGCATTAAAAAAGCGATCCTTGTAACAAAAAACATTTGTACCCCCATAATACTTTAAAATAAAAAACAACTTATTCAAAAGTTCTTCTGCTTTGAATACTTATGTTCTTTTATATAGTTTGAGCTCTGAAGGCTCCATTTGTTATCTATAACGGAGACAGATATTTTTCTTCTTGGTACTAAGGAGGTCTGAATGAAATAATGTAGGTAAATGCTTTGTTAACTTTTAGCATAAATCAAACATTAGGCATATCAATATGCTGTTCTAGGGTCCCCTTGGGAAGCACTAAAACCATATAATGCTAATAACTTTTAGTACAAAACAGAAATAGATCAATTTGCTTTGTAGATGTTGAAGGCTGCAAATACAAACACAGAGCCTATTTATGGTTCCACAGACCTGTCCTAATGGTCCAGGGCAAGATTAGAGGTGAAATCAGATGCACTAGAAGTTTCACAAAGCGGGATAAGGAAAGGGAGAATTTGAAGTCATTTTCGAGGTAAGAAGCGCTATCTGATAGCCTGGCCAATGCCCCAGCAAAAGGCACAAAGTCATGTTAAGTTTCATGGAAAACACTGAAATTTAATCAGTCTTCTGAAAAACTGTAGAAAATGATATCTTTAGAGAGAACATATATACCATGTATTCTTAAATACAAAAACTCAACTTGCTAAAACTGTACTATATTTTTACTTTGCATTAATACTTTGAAATCCATTGTATTATGCTTGTTGAGCACTTAATTGCTTCTGTCTCTAAAGACAGGCATGCATAAGCATTTCCTTCCTGGTGATTTTATTTGGTAAAGGTAACTGTCACATCACTCACTCTAGAAGTAGAAGATTCCATCTCCTAATTAAAGAACTTTCAATTTCATAACGTGTGTAAACAGCAAACCATTTACAATCATGGGACAATGATTCTTATAGATGCTTAAACAGGATATTGTACCATGCAATTCTGATTAATAAGGGTTGTTCTCCTTATCCTCTCACTCCACAAAGCCTTATAGGGAGAAAACAGGAATGAGGCTGAAAAGTGGCACACTGTGAATGGTAAATAGAAACATATAAAGAGCCTGAGTTCCTAAGCAGATGGACCCACATCTATCTCCAATCTTGCTATCTGAGAAAAAAAGAATCCTCCATTTGTTTAAGCAATTGTAGTCACGTTTTCTGTTATTTGCAGCTGAACGCATCCTTAATTGCTATACCTGGCAACCCAGAAAACAAAAGAAAACTGGCACATCTCTATTAACATCAGGAAAAAGAATATATTTTAAGGAAAAATCATTATTAGGGATAACAAAGTTATTACATAATAGTAAAAAGGGAACAATTCATAGGAAGCTATAGTGATTTTAAACTCAGTCTCCATATTAGTTATGCAAAAGATCACATGATTACTAGAAGAAATAAACAAATCTACAACCACACTAATTGACAGAAGAAGTAGAAAACATTTAATAAAATAGATGATTTGAACAATCAATAACAAGCTTGATCTAATGGACATATTACAAATCCTACACAAAATTAAAGGGAAAAATATTCTCAAAACCACATGGAAACTTTGTAAAATTGGCTATATACTAGGCCATAGAACAGATTTCAACAGATATTAGAAATCTGAACCATACACACAATATTCTTTGACCACAATCTATTATTACATTGCTGATATAAGGCTCTTGTTCAAAATTTAGTGTTGCTACACAAGCAAAATCAATTTGAATTTAAAAAAGATCCAATTTGTAACAGCAACAAAAACTAAATCTTTTTAAAAAGACATGCAATAGCTTTATAGAGAAAATTAAAATTGAAAACATGTATTAAAGAGAAGACCTAAGTAAAAGGAAAAATATACCATTTTTAATGGATAGTAAGACTCAATTTATAAAGATGGCAATTGTTCTCTAATTAATCCATAAGTGCAATGCAATTAATCTGTAAGTGCATTGCAATTCCAATCAAATTCCTCAAAGCCTTTTTCATGGAACTTGGGAAGCTGATCCTAAAATTAATATGGAAAAACAAAAAGGCAAGAATAAAGTGACATTACAAGTCAATGAGGAAAAGATGGACTATATTCAACAAATGGTGCTAGGGCAATTGGTTATTTTTATGAAAAAAATAAAATTGCATTTTTATCTCATACTATATACAAAAAATAAATTGTAGATAGAAGATTTAAATATGAAAAGAAAAATTTTAAAACTTTTAGGAGAAATTATAGGAGACATTTACATCAGGATAGGGAAATACTTAAGACATGGAACTATATGTTATCAAGGCACAGATTGATATATTTGAGCACATAAAAGGTTTTTATGCAAAAAGACTTCATGACAAAAATAATGTCATAGACTAGGAGAAGATATTTGCAAAATATAAAACCAATCGAGAAGTTAGGAAAGTACTCTTATATATCAAAAAGGGTAGCCAGTTTTTTTTAAGGCAAAAGATATGAACAATCAATTCACAGAAGAGGAAACTCAAATGACCAATGAACATATGAAAAGATGCTCAATAGTAGAGAAATGCAAATTAAAGCCAAAATGAGACACTACTTCACACTCATCAGATTGGTAAAAATAAAGTCTGCAAACACCAGATGTTGCCAAGAATATGTGAAAGTAGGAACTCATACATTATAGGTGGGAGTGTAAATTGGTATAACTATTTGGGAGAGCAATTTGGCAATACTTTATAAAGTTGAAGGCGTGCTTTCTCTAAAACATAGTAATTCTGCATCTAGGTACAGTAAAACCCCATAGGAACTTGAAATTATTTAATGCAAGTAACAATTGGCTTTCATCCTCTCCCCAGCTTTAGATCACACAGCGGGTCAGGCTAATGATCTTCTCTTTTACATGGGGAGGGAAAGGCATGTGCGGGGGGAGTCCTTGAATCACCAGGACTTTTCCAGCCAATCCATCCATAACCAGGCCAAAAAATGAATGCTAACTAGGAAATCCCTAGAATGGTTGCTGTTGTCTTGGTTGTTCCTGTCAGCCAGCAAGACTCAGAATCATCCCTAGTAATATTTAAACCTCAGCAGGCAACTACCAGGTGGCTCCACACTGCAGATGGGACTTGAACAGACTAGGAGAGGTTTTAGGAGAGTAAACTTAATCTAACCTTACTGAGGCACATGTGACTCATCATATGTGCTAGACAGAATGTACGGGGGTAACTGCAGGAGGCACTGACAAAGAATTATAAAATCAGAGTTAGCCTGATAAGAAATTGTGAAAAACAGGACACCAGATAAGTGCAACATAGCCACTAATGCAAATGAACAGTTGACTATTTACTAAAAAAGGACCGTATCTTTAATTCCATATAAATAGAGAATACATTCACCATAGCTTTGTAGCCACTTATTATCTGCATGTATTCAGGGTTTTCTTTTTTTTTTGCTCAGTAGTAAAAGGCTAATTCTATATTCATGGATTAGCATGTTCCTCTGGGTCTTAATTTCTTTTTTATCTCAACAATTTGGCAATAAGGATGAATCGTATACCCTGAATGAGTCCTTTTGCTCAGTGAATTTGTTGGAGGATTTGTGATCACCTTTGATGAGGTAACA